GGACAGAAAATATCATGTTGCCTCTATATAAATCCATAGTACGCTCACATCTTGAATACTGTGTGCAGATGTGGTTGCCCCAACTCAAAAAAGATATATTGGAATTGGAAAAGGTTCAGAAATGGTCAACAAAAATGATTAAGGGTATGGAACGGCTTCCATATGAGGAGAGATTAATATGACTGGGACTATTCAGCTTGGAAAAGAGACGGCTAAGGGGAGATATAATTGAGGTCTATAATATCATGACTGGTGTAGAGAAAGTAGATAAGGAAGTGTTGTTTACTACTTCTCATAACACAAGAACTAGAGGTCACCAAATGAAATTAATAGGCAGCAGGTTTAAAACAAATAAAAGGAAGTATTTCTTCACACAACACACAGTCAACCTGTGCAACTCCCTTCCAGAGGATATTGTGAAGGCCAAAACCATAACTGGGTTCAAAAAAGAACTAGATAAATTCATGGAGGATAGGTCCATCAATGGCTATTAGCCAGGCTGGGCAGGGATGGTGTCCCTAGCCTCTGTTTGCCAGAAGCTGGGAATGAGCGACAGGGGATGGATCACTTGATGATTACCTGTTCTGTTCATTTCCTCTAGGGCACCTGGTACTGGCCACTGTCGGAAGACAGGATACTGGGCTAGCTGGACCTTTGGTCTGACCCAGTAGGGCCATTCTTATGTTCTAAAAAGAATGGATTGAATAATTATACTTATTTTGCAGTTTGTTTTGAGCATGTGGAAATAATCCATTTTCCACCGTATTCCCTGTTGTTTTAAATTTAAATTTCCTTTTAACACCATACATCTACAGGGTCAGATTTTCAAAACTAGCCACATACAACTGCACATGTACACATGTGCACCATCTAATTGATTGCATAAAGATACCTTGTGTGCAGAAGCAGATTAGGTGCCTATTTTGCCATGTGCATGTGCAAATCCCTGATTTACTGGTGCACAAAAAGAATCCACATGAATAAATTCATTACATGAAATGGGTCTGGGTACCTAACTTTGAAAATCTGGCCCATATTTTTAAACACAATTGCCAAATTACCTGAAGGAACACCTAGCAAGAGCAAAAATGATGAATAGGCGTATGATTAAATAAATGAGAACTAAAGAACTGAAAAAAGTGAAATCACTCTGTAGCTTGAGCTTTTCAGTACAACAGAAATGACCAGATCTCTATTTAAATGGTCATCATTAGCACAGCTGTGAAACTGGCTGTTGAAGACTGAGCTTTTCCACAATCAAAACCAACATACACAGTTAAATGTGTGAAACATGCAATAAAACTTCCATTCATTTTTGCAGAAAGTACTCATTAGTAGTGTTGAGCTAAGCTAGTGCTCTATAAATATGCTGCACTACTGGATATGCTTCCATTGTTAAGCAATAGTGCTACCTAAATATACCCTTTAATAATTGTTTGCTCAGAATCCAAGTGGAAATCCTAAAGCACTTAAAATGTTACCAGAAACAGCTGATTAACTCACATGCTTGACAAACATTAAAGCCTCATGAAAATGAGCCCTTGCCCTATAGAGTCAATGGACATTGTATATAAATAGGCTGGATTCAGCAGAATCCTCAGATCTTGGCGTTGCTGGCCCTCTTACTTCCCCACTGAATTCTGATCCAACAGGTGCCATTTCTGCAAAATGAAGGGTGCAATCCAGGGTTTGGTTTTGATCTCTCTCCTGATAGCAGTCTCTGACGTAAAAGGTGAAGAGAATTTTATGAAGCTTTGTGGGAGAGAATTCATAAGAGCTGTCGTCTTCACATGTGGGGGATCCCGATGGAGAAGGCATCTGACTGACGATCCACAAGATCTATTTGGTAAGTGTTGGGTTATGTGCAGTGGGCTCACTGCTTCCCTCGTATGCATTCACAAATCTAACTGAATTCAACAGGGGGTGCTGTCACTTGGATGGCTCTAAGGGCCCAATTGGATGCTTAGTTTCTTTTATCTCTGTAAAATGTATTTCTTGAGTCGGTATTGTGGGGGCTTTGTTTCAGATAAGGAAGTGAAATTATGCTCTATGTTTCTCTGAAGCTTATCTAGCTTAGGTTTGTTTTGTTTTTTTAAATAAAAAAGCATCTAGGTTGAGATTTTCAAGCCAATTGTGTGCTAAACACTTAGTTTTGAAATCCTCAACCCTAGTTTTTATGTCAAGGGGGGAAATCCTGCCCCCTTTGAAGTGAATGGAAGTTTTGCCATTGTCTTCAAGAGGCATGGCTTTCCCACAAGATATTTTACAGTACAAACTGATTTGCAAATTACTGGGAAGTTTCAGAAAATTCAGCAATATACATTAAAAGTCATACCAGGGTAATACACATTGCTAGTGATTTGTACTCAAAATTTGGGACCTTAATTATAAAGGATTAAATAAGTGAGTTTGGTTTTAGGAAACCATTCTTTGTATGTATTTTATATTTTCCAGTCAAGCATCTACTTTCATGGAAACTCTTATACTAGTCCATTCTATATGCATCCGAAGAAGTGGGCTGTAGTCCATGAAAGCTTATGCTCTAATAAATTTGTTAGTCTCTAAGGTGCCACAAGTACTCCTGTTCTTCTTTTTGCGGATACAGACTAACACGGCTGCGACTCTGAAACCTGTTCTTATACTAGTGAAAGCTTGAAACTCATGGCTACATGCAGAGAAAAAGGTTTGGCTAGAAATACTTCTGCAAAATATTTTAGAGAACTAGCCAAATGGGGAAATCACTTAACTCTGTATTAGGCAAGGAGTGGATGTTGCTGTACTTTATGATCCTTATTCTCTTTTTTAAAGAGCGCACCACATTGTATTGAGAGCTTCAAAATACAGTATTCCTTAAAATGCACCTGAATTACAAACAGCTGGGAAACAATTTGCAATACTAGGGTATACATTTTTGAAGATCTTGGAACTATTCATATCTGATATATAAAGCAATGGCACTTGAACTTTAGGAAGGAATGTACCATATCATAGTACAGTATGTTGATTTTAAATGTAATGGTCAGAATGAAGCGGCACTGTTAGAACTTCGAAACAAATGTACAGTTCGTTTCAGCCATCAAAGCAACTGCACTAACAGATTTGTTGTCCTCATTTAAACAGCTGCACAGACAAGCTGTAAAAGAATTACAGATTCTTTAATGGGATATTAATAGGCTCTTTAATTCTTAGACATCTGTTTCAGTGCAATTCTGGTGAAATAAATGTTAAGGATCAGGTAAATCCTAATCATTCAGACCACAATAGACATGCACAATGAACCAGAATGAGGTGAGAATACCTTTGACCTTTTGGTTTCTTTGGTGTAGGCTACTTTATCTTTTCTGTTAGAGCTGAAAGTCTACACTTTACTAAGGAGTCTATGCCCTCTAATTTTAGTTTGTTTCTAATTTTTATGCAGAAGACAGAGAAAGTCACCTGCATTTGCCACGTGAAAACAGTGATTCAACAGAACCCTTGGAATATGGCATTCAGAATCCAGAACCCATGAGGGAAGAAACCCTTAACAACAAACCCCAGTCTCAGAGAGACTTAAGAGGCACCAGGCAAAAGTCTATACAAGAAAGGCGGGAAGTGGTTTCGCTGCTTACTACATCCTGCTGCAGCATTGGCTGCAGCGAAAAAGATATAAGTTCACTGTGCTAAAATGTATCAGATGCTGGACGGATTATATCCATAGCTTTAATACATTAAAATAATCACAACATGTAACTGTCTGAAACTAGACTATTACAATTGTGTTTCTTGAATTCTAGCTTTATTTTCTGCATCACACCGAGACTTAAAGGTTAAATTTTAAATGCAAAGCAGCTTTGAAATGCCTTTTTGTGATGATTGTTCAGCTCTTTGTACAAGGCATTTAACATGTTTTAAATAGTTAAATTTCAAACCACATGTGCAAATATTTTTCCCTGTCCAATTATTGTACTAGTTTCAGTTTTTGTGGCTAAATTTTAATAAAATGTGCCATGTACTATGTATGTGTCTCATTGTGCTTTCTCATTTATGAACACCCCCAGCAGGATTACAAAGCTGGGGGTGTACATAGCTAATAGTGTCACTCAGAGATCAAAATCATAATAATGCAGTACATGTAGTATCCATAATGCCTTTACAATATGGGTATCAGAATGAAACTGTGATTCAAGCACCCACTCTCAACATCAGACTTGCAATATCAGATCAGACCAGTGATCCATCTAATCTAGTGTTCAGTCTCCAACAATGGCCAGTACCAGAAACTCCAGAGAAAGTTGCTAGAATTCTCATAATGGATGATTATGGAATAACCAGCAAAGTTTCTTCCTTGAAACCGCAAAAATTCGTAGCTGGCTTTTGCCCTGGGCATAAGGGTTTGTAGCCCTTATACTTGTATCTTATTGTGAGCTGTTGTTGTCCCCACATTTCTCCAAATAAAGTCTACACAAGGTCAATTCTGGGTACAAAGTCAAATTTTCCCCCTTACACAGAGATTGAAGATACAGTTCCGAGCTCAAGGAGGTACATTTCCTCTTGTAACTAGAGACAGATCCCAAAGTCAAAATACTTTTTTTTTTTTTACCTTTATGCACCTTAAAAAAGGACATTTATCCAAAAGCTCTAAGCTTTTTGGATATTACTTAAAAATACATATCAAAACTCCTCCACTGCAATCAGGGCCAACGAGAGGGGGGGCAAGCCGGTATAAATTACTGAGGCCTGGCGGTCTGGAAGGGGGCCCGGTGTCGTCCCCCGCCTCGTTGGCCCTGTTTAGCCGGTCCGCCCTTGCTGGGGGGCCCAAAAAAATTCCGGGCCCGGCTTCCCCCCCGCCCCTCTCGTCGGCCCTGTTTAGCTGGTCCGCCCTGGCTGGGGGGCCCGAAAATTTTTTTTCACTGGGGCCCAAACCCCCTCTCAGCGGCCCTGACTGCAATGAGACAACAGCTATATCCTCCAGTATGACCCAAACCAGCAAGACAAGCAAACAAAAAGCTAGAACTACCCTCCTTCTCCAGCAATTCACCAACTTCCCAAGTCTCTCCCACTTTCAAATCCCTGGAATAAACAAAATGTGGCTTGCAGTTTGCCCTGAAGATCATTAGATCTGGCATAAAGTTTTTCCAAAAGTATTCAAGTGGCTTAGGACCCTGAATCTAATTTTCAGAACCTATGGCCAGGTCTACACTAAAAAGTTAGGTTGACCCAGCTGTTTGGACTGTTCAAAGTGTAGACATAACCCAATTCCCATTGACTTTCAAAGAGACATAGGCTTCAAAGTGCCTAAGTCGCTTTTGAAAATTAGAGTCAGGCTCCTAAGAATATTGTGCTGTTGAAATTTTACTCCGAGGGCATTTTGATTCAAGATCATGGTAGTAGAACTAGTTTATAAGCTGTGGGGGCAGCCTTAACTTCTGTGCTCTGACTGGGCTATTGGAGATAATGGTACAGACAGCTCTAACGCCCTGCACCAGCCGGGCTCTCAGGATGGCTCCAATATAGAAGAAAAAACAGTGCTTGCCTGGGAAGTTAGATAGGCACCATTGGTGCTAGAAATATTACCCAGTCAGAAGACCTGGTTGTAACACAATTAAATTTTGTAGCATGGATGGTACCTACTCATACCCCCATAACCAGGCCAAAGCCTTGGACTGTTCAAAGCTTTTGCCCAGTTATAAGGAAACCAGGAGGGGTCCCATCCACACTTCAATTTTTAAGTTGTATTGTAGTTGGACCAGGGGAGTGTTGTCAAGCAGACAATCCTGAAGTTAAATTGTGACAATATGGCACAATGGTCGATTCAGTCACTGCCCTTGATCTGTAACATCTGTGCTATTCTTGCAGCGAAACTCTCCTGAGCAGAGAATGAGGAATTGAGCCAAATTGCAGGGCTCCACTGAGGCCAAACGCCTTTCCCTTGGAACAAGTTCTGCAAAGGGGTAAAAATGAGGTGGGGTTTATTAAACCTCATCTGCTTTTCTATTTAGTGTTTTCAAAAACAAAACACATTGAACGACCCATTTTAAACAGATGGCGCCAAGGAGAAGTTCAGAACATAAAAAACTTGCATTAAAGATTAAGTAGTAAACCTAATGCTGCAATACTGGTGCAGAAGAGATGTACCAGTATACATTTATAATAATCAAATGTATAATCAAATATTAGGTATTTTTCCTTTACAGCAGTGGGTCGCAAACTTTTTTTTACTGGTAACCCATTTCACACAGCAAGCCTGAGTGAGACCCCTCTAATAAATTAAACACATTTTTAATATATTTAACACCATTATAAATGCTGGAAGCAAGCGGGGTTTGGGGTGGAGATTGACAGCTTGCGACCCCCCATGTAATAACCTCGTGACCCCCCTGAGGGGTCCCAACCCCCAGTTTGAGAACCCCTGCTTTACAGTATTAACAGTAATTGGCCTAAGATTAAATATTCATATATGTAAGAAAATTAGTCCTGACCTTAGATCTTCTACAGCAATGGTTCTCGACCTTTCCAGACTACTGTACCCATTTAAGGACTCTGATTTGTCTTGCGGATCCCCAAGTTTCACCTCACTTAAAGACTACTTGCTTACAAAATCAAACATAAAAATACAAAAGTGTCACAGCACACTATTACTGACAAATTGCTCACTTTCTCATTTTCACCATATAAATTATAAAATAAATTGATTGGAATATAAATATTTTACTTACATTTCAGTGTGATACTTGAGTCTGTTTTTCACTTGTGAGCCTTGTCTGTGGGGCTGAAGCATGTAACTTAGCTTTGCAGGGGCCCCGGGTGAATGCCCTGCTTCCCCCCTCCCCCCCAATGCCAGCCCTGCACTTCCAATCCCCCTAAACCCATCCAATGACCTTCCCCCCGGGCTGCACACCTCAGGTTGTGAAACATTGATCTAGATTAGTTGAGTACTGCCTGAAAGACCTCTGTGTACCCCCCGGGTATGCATACACCTGGTTGAGAACCACTATTCTACAGAAGTCTTAGAGGCTTTTTTACCAGATTTTTACCATCTTTTGGAAACACCCCTGCTTTATCTTATAAAAAAGGAGATGAAAGACTCAAAAAAAGTAAATGATCCATGGAGTAACGTACATCAGCTGGTTAAGCAACAAGCTATAAAAGTTAGGCCCTGGACACTCTACAACAAGATAAAACTGAATCCCCTGCCATATCTGGGTCATGGTTTTTTTCTTTTTCTTTTTTACAGTTCAGTATATGATTTTTTTATGTTGTAAAGCTAAGTTTATTTAACATCAAGAGCTAAAACCAGTTGGTTCATATTGCAGACGCTGCAGTGCTATTTTCACTTTTGCTAAACTATAGCCACTTCTGATGGAACATTAACTATAAACCCACATGGCTCTATGTATAAAAATAAATAGAAACCAGCTCAGTGTTTCTCAAACACCAAGAGAGATTTATTTTTGACACTTTAGAAAGTCACTTAATTTAAAACCTGAGTTCTACATATTTGTTTTCTACTATAAAATTAAAACCCAAGCAGACCTGCTTGGAATCATGGTACATTTTGATCTTCCATGAAAATTCCTGGGTAAAGCTTATTATGGGAGTGATATGTGCATGAATATGATCTCATCCATCCAATAGATCAACAGGTCTCTAAAGTGCACAGATCTAAAATGCAAGCTGTATGGAAGGCGGACTTAATCAGGTGAAATTGACCTGCATACCATATAAGGACATTTCTCCCCTCCTCCTCCCACAACTCTGTGATGTTGCACTCTGTATGCTTTATGAAAATATGCTTATGAATGTGAATACGATGTAACTGGAATATGCTTTATGCAAAAGGTCTCTTGTAAGGTATCATTACAAAGCTTATAATCTACTGACTGGCCTAGCTTGATTATCACTTCTAAAAGTTTTTTTTCTCTTAATTAATTGGCCTCTCAGAGTTGGTAAGACAACTCCCACCTGTTTATGCTCTCTGTATGTGTGTATATATATCTCCTCAATATATGTTCCATTCTATATGCATCCGAAGAAGTGGGCTGTAGTCCACGAAAGCTTATGCTCTAATAAATTTGTTAGTCTCTAAGGTGCCACAAGTACTCCTGTTCTTATAATCTACTGAGTGTGTTCATCCTATTTATTTGCATGTATTATTTCTATGTCTGAAGTTAGGAGAATAAGACAAACTTGTATTACTGATGTAAACATATTAAGTGGAAGCCATTAAGGGTGCTTCAGAATCAATGAACTGTAAATAGATGTTTACTTGCAAAGCTTCCTGTGTATGTGTGGGCCAACCCTGGAAGCATGGAGGCTGGGGGTCTTACAATGACAAGTGACCATGTCACCGGATAATGAAATCCATCTTAAATCTGGTACTTTTCCATTTAGGGTGGAAGCATCTCCTGCCACCCCTCAGGAGGAGTCCCCTTAGAACCAAAAGAAAAGGTTTTTAATGGTGCAAGGATGCTGCTTCTCCCTATACCAGAAGTTTGGAACCTGGCCCACAGAAATGTAATATAAAGGGTTTTGTATGGGGTAAAAATTCCATCTTTGTCCACAACATTTTTTGTATCAATGGGGATTCCATAAGTGAATCCAGAGCAGCAAATATCCCTAATATCTATATATTCTGTTTTCAGCATTTAAGATGACCTCATGCTCTGCCTTAGTGGTACCCTGATGTAACAATTAAAAATCACTTGGTACGTTTGGACAGAAAATGGTATCTGGCAATATGTCAAATTTCTTATGCTATTTAAACAAAAGTGTTTTCCCCTTCTATTCTGAATGTTGTCATCTCAACTTTTCTGGGTAATTTATCAACTATTTTCAAGGTGTGTACTTGTAGGTATAAAAATGACAAGGAGCAGAACAGATAACACATTTAAGCCTTTTAAGAAACTACGGCTTTGTCTACGCTACCACTTTTGTCGGTCAAACTTTTGTCGGTCAAGGGTGTGAAAACAAACAAAC